GGCCCTCAGGAAGCGGAGAGGAGAGAACTGTAAAGGTTATACGCACTCTGCTGCCAGTGCCCTTTTTAATTTCCTGCTTAGAATGTTAGGCTGTCGCTCCTCCTCAGCTGAAACCCTCCCTGCAGGGAGCTGGGTCTGCCATTAAGGCAGCCAGTGTTGACCCAGACTGTGGGGCAAAGTACCCTCTGCCTTCACTTCCCTGGGTGAAGGCAGAGGTTGATTGTGGGGATGGGAATGCAAGGATGGGAGACAGGAACTCTCGCTGAATGTTGAGAATTAGGTACATCCCGTGTGTCTGAAAGTATTTGCAGAATACATTATGCTATTTACATACAAGGGATTATAATTAGCCTAGCCAGTATGGCTCAGTGGTTGAGCATTGACTCATGTACCAAGAGGTCACCAGTTCAATTCCCAGTCAGGGCACATGCCCAGGTTGTGGGCCCAATCCCCAGTGGGGGGCATGCAGGAGGCGGCCAGTCAATGTTCTCTCTCATTGATGTTTCTATCTCTCTCTCCCTCTCCCTTCTTCTCTCTCTAAAATCAATAAAGAAAAAAAATTTTTAAAGAGATTATAATTATTAAAAAACATAAGGGGCCCTGGCTGGTTTGGCTCAGCGGTTAGAGCACCACCTTGCGGTCCAGAGAGACCTGGGATCAGTTCCCGCTAAGGGCACGTACTTCGGTTGCAGTTTGTCCCCAGCCGTGGTTGGGTCGTGCGGGTGGCAGTCACTCGATGTGTCCCTTTCACGTCTATGTTTCTCTCTCTCTCCCTCCCACTCTATCCGAACAAAAAAATGGAAAAGTGTCCTCGGATGAGGATTAAAAAACAAAACAAAACAAAAAACATAAGGGACACCCTGGCTGGTTTGGCTCAGCAGTTAGAGCATCAGAGAGACCAGAGAGAACTGGGTTCAGTTCCCGCTAAGGGCACATACCTGGGTTGCAGCTTGTCCCCGGCCCCGGTTGGGGTTGCGTGGGTGGCAACCACTCGATGTGTCTCTCTCATGTTGGTGTTTCTCTCTCTCTTCCTCCCTCTTACAACAGTGTGGTCATGAAAGCATAATATATAATATTTATTATAAGGCAGTATACGGGCTCCGCAGTCAGACTGCCTGGGCTGGAATCAGGCTTCATCACTAGCATTGGGATCTTGGGCAAGTTGCTTAACTCGTTTGGTCTCAATTTCCTCATTGAAAAATGAGTATAATAATTGTATCTGTCTTGTGGGATTGTGATGGAAATGAAAGGAGATCGTACTGGTAAGGTGCTTAAAACAGTCCCTCATATAATAGGTAAGCAGTTGCAGTCCAATTGCTGGAACAGGAAAAAAAATATACACGTGTAAAGAGATTACTATTGGTTGATATCCTGTTTTGTGTAGGGAGAAATTAAGAAGTTTGGAGGTAGGGACAGGAGTTTCAAATCAGCTCAATTCTGCCTCATTCCCAAAGGAAAAAATGATTTGTTTGCTGGAGTATTAGGTAGAAATTGCACTTTTCTTTGCTGAATGGCCCTGGTCCTGTCAGCAGGACTGTCTTTCCTGGAAAAGCACTCATCTGTTCATGTCCCCCAGCAACAGCCCCTGTTTCTTACCCCTGTTAAAATATCCCTAGAGTTGGGTTCAACTTTTTCAGGATATCTGTGACTTCTGCATTCCAAAAATTCCATCTCTACCCTTGGTAGGCTGGCTTGAAGGATAAGTGAAAAAAACAAGGAGAGAGATCTAAGGGGAATACAAGAGGGAATAAGCAAATAAGTGTTTGAAATCATTGCCAGGTCAACATTAGGAAATCTGTCCATGTCACCCTCTGCATTAAAAAATTAAAGGAGAAACACTCTGTGATCATCTCAGCTAGTGCCAAAAAAGCATCTGATAAAATTTAGCTCCCATTCCTAATGGACAGTGAAGGGTGGGGAACTAAATATAGAAGAGCTAAAAATAGAAAGTCACTGTCATTATTTGCAAACTATACCATCATTTAATTGAAAAATCTAAGAGAATCAATGACAGTCTATTAGAACTAATAAGGGAGTTCAGTAAAGTGCCCAGATACAAGATCTGCATACAGAAATTCATTGCTTTCCTATATTATGGCAAAAACGAATTAGATAATGCAATTTTTAAAAGAGTCTATTCACAATATAATAAAGACTATACAATAACTAGTAATAAGCCTATCAAGAAATACACAAAAACTCAAGTGAAGAAAACTATAAAATTTTACTGGGGACTATAAAGTGGTGAATAATGAAAAGAGATACTATGTTCCTAGATGGGAAGACTTGATAAGATGCCCATTCTACTCATATTAACCTATAAATTCAAAGTATTCCCAATTAAAATCTTAACAGGATTTTTCACAGAATTCTGTAAACTGATTCTAAAATTATGTGCCAGACGAGATGCCTGAGAATAGCCAAGAAAAAGAACAATGAGGTAAGATATTATAGAACCACAGTAGTTAATTACAACAGTGAGTTACTGGAAAAGGAATAGACACATCAGCAGAACAGAATGGAGGACAGTCCAAAAACAAATTCATGTTTATAGGGTAATTTGGTTATGTTAAATGTGGCATTTGAAATTGGTGGAGAAAGAATATGCTATTTAACCCTGGTGGGGTAGCCCAGTTGGTTAGAGCATCATCCCAATACACCAAGGTTGTGGGTTCGATCCCAGGTCAGGGCACATACAAGAATCAACCAATGAATGCATAAATTAGTGGAGCAGCTGATCGATGTCTGTCTGTCTGTCTGTCTGTCTGTCTCTCTCTCCCCCTCTCTCCCTCCCTTCTCTCTAAAATCAAAACAATAACAACAAAAAGGAATACACTATTTAATAAATGATCTTGAGATAATTGCTTACCATTTAGAAAGAAGTCTAGAAAACTTACACCATTCACAAAAAATAAATTCCATTACCTTGGGGGAAGAAATGTCTTCTTAAATATGACATAAAAATCATAAAAGAAAATTTGACACATTTGACCACTTAAAATTTTATTTTTATTTTTTTAAATATGTTTTTATTGATTTTTTGGGAGAGAGAGATAGAAACATCCATGTGAGAGAGAAGCATTGGTCTGCTGCCTCCTGCACGCCCCCTACGGGGAATCAAGCCCACAACCCAGACATGAACCCTGACAGGGAATCAAACTGGGACCTTTCAGTACATGGGACTGATGCTCAATCCACTGAGCCACACTGACTAGGCTGACCATTTAGAATGTTAAAGCTTCAGTATGGTCAAGGTAGGATTTTTTCTAAGAATGCATGGTTGGTTTGATACCAGGAATAATATCAGTAATTTACCACTTCGACAAAATAAAAGAGAAGAAACACATATCAGGAGATGCTGAAAGAGCATTAGGTAAAATTTTAGACCTTCCTAATAACAACAGTAAAAGAAGAATAGAAGAAATTACTAGTAAGATAATGACTATTATCCAAAACTAATTTCTAAATAGTAAAGCACTAAAGCTTAGTCATTTCCTTTAAAATCAAGAACAAGACAGGAATGCCCATTATCATCATTATTATTCAACATTGTTGTGGAAGTTTTAGGGATTACAATAGACAAGAAATAAAATATTTGGTATAAATATAGAGAAAAAAGGTTAAAAAAAATTTTTTTTTCTGATATATAATTGCATACTCTGAAAAACCCACTAAGCCCTAATTTAAAACAAAACAAAACAAAACAACAATTGGAATTAATAAGAGAGTTTGAGGGTGGAAGTTATAAGGCAAATATATAAAAATTAATTGTGTTTCTCCATACTAGCAATTACCACCTGGAAATGGAGATGGGGGAAGATGTTCCATTCATAAGAGTGATTAAGTCCATAAAGTACTTGGAAATCATATTAAAAGGGCAATTACAGAACCTATCTGAAGAGAAAGAAAACTATAAAATCTTATTGAGGGACATAAAAAATATCTGAACAAATAGAATGGCAATAGTCATGTTTTTGTATGAAGAAGTTTAATATAAAATAAATATGTAATATAATTCCAATAAGGTTTTGGGGGCAGTGGGAGGTGTTCTGGGTTGGGGATGGAACTGATAAAATTTTCTTAAAGTCAAATAGAACAATAAATGTCTGAATATAGCCAAGAAAACCATAGAAAAGAAGGAGCAGTGGAGGGCGGGCCTCTTGCCTTACTAGATAAAAAGCATACTGTAAAGGAATGGAATGGAAACAGTGTGGTGTTAGCACAGGAGTAGAAAGATTAGTGGAACATAACAGAAAGCCCAGTAATAGGCCTCTGAAAGAAATAGAGTCATTTGGATATGACAAACGTGGTATTTCAAGTGAGAAAGATTTTTATTTATCTTTATTTATTTTTATTTATCTTTATTTATTTTTAATGTTTTTTTATTTTTTATTCTTTATTTATTTTAGAGAGAGAGGTAGAGAGAGATAGAAACATCAATGAGAGAGAACATTGATCGGCTGCCTCCTGTATATCCCCCACTGGGGATTTGGCCCACAACCTGGGCATGTGCCCTACTGGGAATCGAACTAGCGACCTCTTGATGCATGGGTTGATGCTCAACTACTGAGCCACACCGGCCAGGCGAGAAACATATTTATTTTATTATTACTATTTTTTAATCCTCACCCGAGGACATTTTTGCATTTATCTTCAAACAGAGCGGGAGGGAGAGGGGGGGAAAGAGAAAGAGAGAGAAACATCTATGTGAGAGAGATACATCAACTGGTTGCCACCCACACGACCCCAACTGGGGCTGGGGACAAACTGCAACTGAAGTATGTGCCCTTAGCAGGAACTGAACCCAGACTCTCTGGTTCACAGGCTGACGCTCTAACCCCTGAGCCAAACTGGCCAGGGCAAAAGAAAGATATTTATTAATAATTGGTGCTGGCACCAATATTCTTACTCTCGAGGTATAAAACAGAGATCGGCTGTTGGGATCGGGGTTGGGGACCTGGGGTCAGATTGGTCCTCATTTCCATTGTGTTTCTTCCCAGGTGCTGCCATGGTGATGGCGGTGGAGGACAGCATGGTGCAGGTTGTGGTCCGGGTGCGGCCCCCCACCTCACGGGAGCTGGAGAGCCAGAGGAGGCCTGTGATTCAGGTGGTAGACGAGCGGGTACTGGTGTTTGACCCTGAGGAGCCTGACGGGGGCTTCCTTGGCCTGAAATGGGGCAGCATCCATGACGGCCCCAAGAAGAAGGGCAAAGACCTGACGTTTGTCTTTGACCGGGTCTTTGGTGAGGCGGCCACCCAACAGGATGTGTTCCAGCACACCACTCACAGCATCCTGGACAGCTTCCTCCAGGGCTACAACTGCTCAGGTGAGAATCTGAGCAGTGAGGAGGAAGAGCCCTCCTTGGTAGCTGCCTTGCCTCCCTGCTTCCCTCTCAGAGTTTTATGGGTCTCCTGATGGGTGCCCCCCTCTGCCTCAGCTGGGCACTTGTTGAGGAGGGCTGTGGGCCTTGCATTCTCTGTGGGTCCTCCATTCATTCTTTTCCTGTGTATGAGCACTCCCCTGGGCCCTGGGATACAGTAGCAGATCAGACAGACATGAGTTTAGAGAGGGAGAGAAGACACTAATTGAAATCACACCCACAAGTGTGTGGCTAAACACCAAGGTAAGTGATAGGAGGGAAAGAGCCATGGGCCTTCAGCAGAGGAAGAAGGCATCCCTGAGGAAGGGAGATGCCGCACCCACCATGGAGACCCCTTTGCTCTCGAATTCGCAGACCTGTAGGAAAGCTAGGGCACAAACGTAGGGAACTCAAGCTTCAGTGCAAACATGGGGGGTGTGAGTGGGTAGGAGCAGTGGGACTATGCACATAGAAAGCAAAGGAAGGGGCTCGGGGAGGGAGGGGTGAGCTGGGTGGAAATGCACAGGGGGAGTCACTAGAGAAGGTGGGTCTGGCCCTGCCACCACCCTGCTCCTCACTCTGTCCTCTGCAGTGTTTGCCTATGGGGCCACTGGGGCCGGGAAGACGCACACCATGCTGGGAAGAGAGGGGGACCCCGGCATCATGTACCTGACCACTATGGAACTGTACAGGCGGCTGGAGGCCCACCAGGAGGAAAAGCAATTCGAAGTGCTCATCAGCTACCAGGAGGTAGGGCCGTCCCCTCCCTGGGACTGGGTGGCCTCATCCCTCATTCTCACAACCACCTCAAGAGGGGGTGGAGTGGGTAGTGGGGGAGAGGGTGGTAGGAAGTGGGCAGATGGGGACCCAGTGAGGGCCCAGAGGGCAGAAACCACTCAGAGAGAGCCTGCTTGTGAACTAAACCTGCTCTTGTCACTTAACATCATCCCGCAAAGTGCTGCTCGTGTTACAGGGTCTGGTCACGTTTCCCCTACCCAGCAGCTCAGCCCTCCCAGCCCCTAGGCGAGAGGTGTCCTGATGGGTCCTGCCCCTCAGGTCTCTCCCTTGCTTCCTTTCTCCTCAGGTGTACAATGAGCAGATCCACGACCTCCTGGAGCCCAAGGGGCCCCTTGCCATCCGTGAGGACCCCGACAAGGGCGTGGTGGTACAAGGCCTTTCTTTTCACCAGGTGTGAGATTGGGCTCAGGTGGCATGAACAGTCCCATTGGTCCTCCAGGGTTCCCTCACCAGGCAGTTTGGGGGTACCCCTTATTCCATGGGGGTGCTGGTGACATGGGTTCTGAAGAGCAGCTCTCTTTTTTTTTTTTGTGGTACGTGCCCCTAGCGGGAATTGAACCCAGGAGTCTCTGGTCCGCAGGCCAACGCTCAACCGCTGAGCCAAACTGGCCAGGGCAAGCAGCCCTCCTATTGGGGGAAAGTCCTGGTGGGGAAACCACAGCTCCCTTCCTGGTCATCTCTGTAGCCAACCTCTGCTGAGCAGCTGCTAGAGATGCTGACCAGAGGGAACCATAACCGCACGCAGCACCCCACTGATGCCAATGCTACTTCCTCCCGCTCCCATGCCATCTTCCAGGTGAGAGGGGTCGTGGGTCAGAGCCTGAAGACAGGGTTTCTGATGCCCAGCGCCCCCTCACCCCTGCCCTCTGCCCCCAGATCTTCGTGAAGCAGCAAGACCGGGTTCCAGGTCTGACCCAGGCCCTTCGGGTGGCCAAGATGAGCCTGATTGACCTGGCTGGCTCAGAGCGGGCGTCCAGCACCCACGCGAAGGGGGAGCGGCTGCGGGAGGGTGCCAACATCAACCGCTCTCTGCTGGCCCTCATCAATGTCCTCAATGCCCTGGCTGACGCAAAGGTAAAGCTGCACAGACCCAGGGTCCCCCACAGGACAGCCACTGAGTGCCTGAAGCCAAGGGTTCCTCCCTTCAGCCCTGGGCCAGAGGCTGCCAGATCCCAGTCTGGTCTGTCTGGTGCAGCCACCTCACCCCAGGCCCACTCACTGCCCCCCAGGGTCGCAAGTCTCATGTGCCCTATCGGGACAGCAAACTGACCCGTCTGCTCAAGGATTCCATCGGGGGCAACTGCCGCACGGTGATGATTGCTGCCATCAGCCCCTCCAGCCTGACGTATGAGGACACTTACAACACCCTCAAGTACGCCGACCGGGCCAAGGAGATCAAACTTTCGGTGCGTGTCAGCCTGGTGTAGGGGGAGCCCCCAGGCTGGGAGGAGGAAGGGACAGGACCCACAGGCTTCCTCTGGTGCCTGGAGCAAGGATTCCCACAAGGCAGAGGGAAGACATTCCTGAGCCTCTCTCTTCAGGGAAATTGTGCTAGAAGTGACACAGTCCCTGTCCTTGGGAAGACTCTAGTTTGAGGAGAGGCAGGTTGGTCTCCAAATCTCAGGAAAAGAGTCAAATACAGCATTGGATGATTCCGGCAGAGCTGTCTCAAGAGGGAGGCAACAGGAGGGGGTGGCAGAGTATTGGCCAGTGATCTTTTTTAGACTTGTTTTTAGCAGCAGAACAACATAAACACCAACATGTAACACAGACACAGGCAGAGCTGCTCTGGTTTTCCTGCCTCCTCCAGAGAGCCCTGGCTGGGTGAGAGTGTATTAGTCGGGCAGTCAGGGGCCTTGGGTTCAAAGGCAGCCTCTGCCTCCTGCTGTGGTCTCAGGCAAACCACTGACCTTCCCAGGTCTGTTTCCCCAGTGGTGAGTGTGAGTCCCCGGAATATGAGAGGTGCCTGGCGCAATGCCTGGCCTTTTGAAGTGGTTGCTTAAAGCTACTTTGAATGAACAAACAGATCTCTCCCCTGTGTCCCCGTCTCAGCTGAAGAGCAATGTGGTCAGCCTGGACTCTCACATCAGCCAGTACGCCACCATCTGCCAGCAGCTCCAGGCTGAGGTGAGGATCCCACTGGGGAGCATGGCCGGGAGGTAGGACTCCCAGGCTTGGTGGGATGTGGCAGCAGAACAAGAGACAGGAGCATTGGCGGGGAGGGCAGGCAGCCCCTGCCTCCTTTGCTCACCTGGGGCTCTGAGGAACTGACTGTTTCGGTTCCAGGTGGCCACCCTGAGGGAGAAGCTTCGAGTGTATGAGGCCGGAACCCAGGCCCCACAACAGGACCTCCCACAGCCCCCCAAATTGGGCTCTCCGCAACAACCGTGAGTTCTGTGGCACATACCTGCCCCATCCTTCAGCTCAGCGGGGAAAGCCCCCCATCTCCAGATGGTTGTGACACCTAGAGTTAGAGGTTCCCACCCAGTGCCCAGCACACTGATTGGCACCCAGAATGCTCTGTCAAATGAGTAAATGACACCCCAGCCCATATAAGCAGTATTTATTATTCAAAAGAAGGTACAGCCCTGCCCGGTTTGGCTCAGCAGTTAGGTCGTTGGCCCACAGACCAAAGGGTCTCGGGTTCAATTCCATGTACCTGGGTTGCAGGTTTGATCCCCAGTACCGGTCAGGGTTGTGAAGTAGGCAACCAATCGATGTGTCTTTTTCACATCAATATTTCTCTCTCTCTCTCCCTCCCTTCCACTCTATCTAAAAATCAATGGGAAAATATCCTCGGGTGAGGATTAACAAAAAAAAAGAAGGTACAGTTAAGAGGTTGGTGTCGTTGTTCCCTAAACCAGAAAATGCCTGTCTCCTTCTCCCCCTCTCAGCTACTGCCCACTTGTTACCCAAGCATCCATTCTTATGGGCTCTGTACCACCTTCCCCTTCCCTGCTTACCCCCACCCCCACCCCTACTTTTCACCCCTTAAACTCCTCATTTCCCCTTGGCCTTCCCAGTTCTTCCCCACCATCCTGCCATCCCAACGAGCTCTGCACCCCAGAGCCCCACCCAGGGTCTGCAGTCCTTCAAGAGGAGAGCCTGGAGGCAGAGGCCCAGGTGGACAGGGTCGTGGAAGGGAACTCCTCAGACCGGGAGCAGCCCTCAGAGAACAAAGACAAAAGCTTGGCCAAGGAGGTAAGACTTAGAGCTGGTGGAATATTAGAAGAAATGCCCTTTCCAACTCAGAATCCCTTCAGTCCCAGGTTCTCTACCTGGGTGTCACATCTTAGTCATTAGGAGGCTTTCAGAGCCTAAGAGGAAGGAGAGCGGTTCCGTCAGATCCTGGGGTCTGGAAGTGAGGAGTGTGTGCTTCCAGCAGGCGAGCAGGACCTGGCTGTTCAGGAGCTGTCATCCCCACTCTTGGAAGAGGGAAGGATTTTAGAAGCTGCTCACATAGGGAGAGAGATCATCCTGAGCCCTCTACCTGTGACTTCTTTCCTCTTCAGGTTCCGATTCAGGTGCCAGAACAGAGCCTCCGACAGTCCCTGCTGGAGTCCCCTGGCTTAACCCTAGAGCCCAAGCAAGTCATGGGCTGCCTGTCACCACAGAACCTGGGAAGGGACCATTCCAAGCAGTAGGTGTCCTCTTACTCTTCTCTGGGCTCCAAGAAGGGAGGTGATGGGTTCCAGCCTCCTGGGGTGGGAGTTGGTGCTAAGTCACAAAAGTTCCAGTTAAAAATCAGGTCTTTTTCACCATTGTCCATTATGTGCTTTTAACAACTTATTATCACCTACTTGATTCATTTATCATCTCTCTATTTACTCCTCCACACAGCTGGCAGTCCAACGGAAGGGAAGCAAAATGCCCAATTCCGTCGTGATAGTTGGCAAGGGCAGGGCCACCTGGGCTAGGGCTTTGCTTTCCAGTCTGAGGGCCAAGCTACCATCCTCAACAAGGAGGGAGCAGCCAGGAGTCGGGTGGCTGGCTGAGGAAGGGACAGCCTTCCTGAGTCAGATGTTTACCACGTTTCTTCATCAACAAATTGTAGCTGTTTCTTCTCAAAAGTAAATACAAACCACCACCCAAAGCCAGAGAGAGATTTTGAACCACTCTTTCTGTCCTTAATGGAGAGGTGCTGCTAATATTTTTCCCTTTGGCCCCCAGAACATAAATCCCCTGCCACTTAACTCTGCTGCTGCCAACCCCAGTCCACCCTCCCGAGCATGCTTCATGCTAGGCAGTGTATTTAAAGCTTCCAGACAGAAGGGCCTGTTTAATTTTATTTCTTGTCGGGGAGTGTCTGTTCTCAACTCAGCAAAAATGCCGCAGCCTGAATAATCAGCAGCTTATTATCTGTCTCCTGTTGCCGACTCCCTGGGGCCTCGCAGTGGCAGGGCTGCCTGATGGGATGTCCCCTCGGAGCCCAGGGAACAACCATGGGTTCCCACTTATGACTCAGGGTCTCTCTGCCTGGTGTCCTTGTTGTGAAGAGGACCAGGGTTCTCTTTTCTGCTGTGTTTCTGGTTTTGTGGCCTCTGACAAGTTGCTTCAGTCGTGGCTATGATTTGAGGATCATAGCCCTAATTATTCTCCCTACGTCGAGCTGAAGTACTAATAAAATGTGATAGAAAACCCCAAATGTAAGGGGTTACAGAACATTCTAGGTCATCTCCATACTTGGAAACACCCTAACAGTCAGATAATCAAAAATAATTTCTCTTGCCCTGGACTGTTTGGCTCAGCGGTAGAGCGTCGGCCCACGGACCAATGAGTTGTGAGTTCGATTCCTGTCAAGGGCACATACCTCGGTTGTGATTTGTCACTGGCCCTGGTTGGGGTGGTGCGGGAGGCAGCCACGCGATGTGTCCCTTTCACGTCGATGTTTCTCTCTCTCTCTCTCCCTCCCACTCTATCTGAACAAAAATGGGAAAATGGCCTCGGGTGAGGATAAAAAAAATAAAATAATTTATCTTTGGCTTTAGACTTTAGAATCTAAGACCACCAGGGTACTGAGTCAATCTTAGATTTTCCAGTTCAGTGGTTTTCAGAATTTTTTCTGCTGCGAAGTCCTTTCTTCAAATGAAATCTTATGCTTGAAGTCTAATATGGAGAACAGATAAGGCAGAGCTGCTCCATTTAAAATGTCCTCAGATGAGTTTCTTCAAACCTAATTTGAAAACCCCGATATAGACCAAGTCTCCATTTGTCAGACGGGATACTGAGGCACTTGCCTGGGGCCACGCAACTATAGCAAGAGGGATGGGGCCAGACCCGGTTATCTGACATCCAGGCCAGTACATTTCTCCTAAACACCCACTTTCCTTAGCAGTCTAATCTTTATATGTGTGGCTTAAGCGGATATCGAATGAGCTTCTGCTGTGTCCTTTTTAATTTATATCCTGCCTTCTTTCACAAAGGCCTGGAGGCTGCTTTAGAAAATGAGCTTGGGTTCCCCAAACACGCACTGAGGGCAGAGGAGGAGGCTCAGAGGTGTCCAGGCAGGTAGTAGATTATGCTACCTGAGGATAAATTATGGGCCAGAAATAATGCCCACTGAGATAATTGTGTTTCTTCTTTATCATAGGTGTGCCTGGCAGAAAGGAAATTTGCTTTATTAGAATCTAAATTTATAACATCAATAATCGCATTACCCTCCTTATTGCCCTTAAAGAGCCCCTCAGTGCATGGGAAGTGTGCGCCGGTTCCCACACCTTTCGGCATCCCAGCCACTAACAGAAAGCACAGGCCGAAGGCACTTTTGAGGGTCCCCTCAGAACCAAATCACACAGCCTATCTTATTTAATCTTCTCTCATCCTAACAAAATGGCATTATTTCTATTTTACAGGAAACAGTAGTTGGCTCACCTTATAGTGCTCACTCTTTAAATACCAAGTGCTCTTTAAATACTCTCTGTGTAAAATAATTCATTTCCTCTTCCCAGCAACCTGATGAGATGGGTACTCTGTTATCCTCAGGGAAAGGATGTGGAGGCTGAGGGTAAGCGGTGGTCCAGGCTCAACAGGTGGGAAGCGTAGGAGCAGGCTGGCAGGCTGGCAGTCTGACTTGACCGCTACCTTTCACTGCCCCTGCAGTAAATGAACTCACTCAAGATCACTGCACTGACAGGTGGCAGAGCTGAGGGGAAACTCAGACCTTCTGAGTCCAAGGCCACTCCACGCCCTTTCTCTACTTCCCAGGTCACTGTCTTTGTCGGGAGGCATGTTTAGTGGGTAAAGCCTCCCACCGTTACCTGTGACCATCTCTGCCAACCTTGGTCTTCAGCAAGGTTGTGGCAGAGCAGGAGCCATGGCCGGGATGGTGGGGAGGCCAGCCCACCTGTGCTCCTCACCACACCTGGAGCATGAGGCCAGGTGCATGGCAGAGAGGACCCTGGCCTGCCAGGTCTGAGTAGATAGGGATATCCTTCTCTCTGTTCCAGGTTGGCGCTGAAGGTACTGTGCCTGGCCCAGCGGCAGTACTCCCTGCTTCAAGCAGCCAACCTCCTGACCCCTGGCATGATCGCAGAGTTTGAGACCCTACAGCAGCTGGTGCAAGGGGAAGAAACCAGGCCTGGAACAGAGGCCTCAGGGACTCTTGGCCCGGCCAGGGGGGCACCTCTGGTTCAGGAGCTGTGTTCAGAGTCAAGTGAGTCTTGCCCCTGCTCTGCCTCTGCCGATTGGTGCCGTCTCCAAAGCCCAGCTGGTGCTGAGAGGTAGCTGGGGCCTTAGGTGCTGGAATAGGACCCCTGGGATCATGGGGCACGCAGAGAGGCTCCAGGAGTCACGACAGAACTGAGGAGTTAGGGACTCCTGCATATCTCCCGTATCTCTCTCCCCAAATTCTAGAAACTTTCCTTCTTTTTGCACAGTCCCTGACCTCTCAACACCCTCCTTCTCTATACCCAGAGTCTCCAGGATACTCTGGCCCTGTGACCCGGACCATGGCAAGGCAACTGAGTGGACTCATGCACAGTCTGGGGGTCCCACCTGGGCCTGACTGCACCTCAGCCCAGGCATCTCTGCAGCCCACGGAGAAGAAGAGAAGGAGACCGAGCCCCTCAGAGCAAGACAGTCCCCCAGCCCCAAAGCCAGGGACCAAGCGCCAGCACCAGTCCTTCCTGCCCTGCCTGAGAAGGGGATCCCTGCCTGAGGCTCAGCCTTCATTCGGACCCATTACCCCCAAAAAGGAAAGGGTCTCCCCCTGCCATTCTCCTCGCTTTTGCCCAGCCACGGTCATCAAAAGCCGGGTGCCTCTAGGCTCTTCAGCTCTGCAGAACTGCTCCACCCCTCTGGCCCTGCCTGCTCGGGACCTCAATATCACCTTTGATCTGTCTGAGGAACCCCCCTCAAAGCTGGGTTTCCATGAATGCACTGGCTTGGAAAATGTCCCCCAAAACAGGCTGGATCAACCCTTCATCCCCAGGTGGGTCTCCCTTCCTGCCTTCCTCCCAGCCCTCCCAACAGGGGATCAGGGGTCAGCAAGGGACAGTGGTGCTGCCTAGAGGAATGGAAGACAGTCCAGCTCTTGGAGCCTAGATATTTGCCGTCTCTTTCCTTTTGGTCTGATCACGCTGCTCCCCAGGCCAGGAGGGCAGAACGTACAGTCCCAGGGAGGCATTGCTCCTCTCAGGGGCCCTGCCTTGCTTGTCTACTTCAAAGCCACCAGCCCCGTGCTGGTTTGTGGCACGACCATGAGTAGCTACAAACAGGACCCCCACTTGGGGAGGGTCAGCAGGAAGCAGGAATTCACGTGGGCAGTACAGTCCTCTGTTTCTCTGCATCGCTTGGGTTCTTTGCCCCAATTTGAGCTCTGTGTCCCACTGAGAAATACCTCTGTCTGCCACTGCCACCCCCTGATTTTACCTTGGCATCCAGAACCAGGAAGGGGATCCTCAGAAAACTTACTCAGCGTTTTTCAGTACAAAGATGAAGCTCTTACCTCCACCTTCCACCCATGGGTCAGGGTAGGGGAACAGCGACCAGCTCAGGACAGTCCGAGGCCAAGAACAAGTGGCAGATTGACCTGGACTTGTGAGGCCAAGGACAGCAGGCTGCCCACTGCGCCCCCGCCTCTCCCACGGCCTGAACCACCTCTCAGTAACAAGCTCAAAGCGTGCAGGTGGAAGGGTGAAATTGTTTGAACTCCAGTTCCCTGGACGCACCAGAAACTGACACCTGGATGTTCTCCCAGAACAGGCCTGTCACTCAGCTGTCAGCCCAGGCTGAGTGAGGCAGGGAGAAGAATCCACCTCTTAGTGGGAAGAAACCTCAGAGGTCATCTTGTCCAACCTCCCCACCCCCCAAGCTGGTACCCTTTTCTTGTTCCCTCCTGATCTGCCTCCCTTCATCTTTCTCCCTCCCACAGTGGCCCTGTGTCCCTGTTCACCAAGAAGGGCCCCAAGCCAGCATCTTCCTTCCCTGAGACCTCAGCCCGCAAGAAGAGGCGCCTTGTGAGGTGAGGTTGGGGAAGTGTAGGGGGAGAGAATCTTTCACCAGGACGGTGGACACCTGGGCCAACTACAGGCCCCCATGTGTCCCTGGACCACTTGGAGCCACTAGCGGGACTGAGCCCCTCTCCTCTACTTCCCTCCCTGACCCCACAAAGCTCCCCTCCCACCTCTCACACCCTCAGATCTGGCCTTGGAAGTACCTGTTGGTGCTCAAGGCTTGGTGTCTAGGTCCACCCCAGCCCCCACCTGTAGTCCAGGGGAACAGCTGTGACCTGACCTTCCCTCCTTCCTTCCTGCCCTCAGTTCCTCCGCCTCCCGCCGCAGCCGCATCGCCCGCCTCCCCAGCAGCACCTTGAAGAGGCTAGCTGAGTCCCTGGCAACCCCGGGTGACTAGCACTGGGAACAGGGATGGCCTTGCCAACTGTGATAATAACAGGAACTGGGAAGGGACAAGGTGGGCTGAGACCCGAAGGCCTGGGAGTGCTTCCAAGCATCTGAGGAACCCTGATGAGAGAGATGGGAGATGAGATGGAGAACAGACAGCCTCACTTTTCTCCTTCCTCCCTGCCTCCCCCTCCTACTGGCCTGTGGAGCTCCCCTTTGGTCCCCACTGCCTGCAGCCTCCTGCAACCTGAGGAGCCAGAGGGAACTGAGGAGGGTTAGGGAAGTGCTGTCAGCTGGGAGCTGCATCGCCAAGGTGTCCTGACTGCTGTCCCCTCTTGGATCCTGGAGCACCCTGCACCAGGAGCGCTGACCTTCCCTCCTCAGCTTGGAGCAATTAATGCCAACACCCTCTTCTATTAACACTCCTCTCCCAGACATTCATTCTGCTACTCACCCTCTTTATTAATCTGTTACACTCAGCTTCTCAGCATGTATATATAAATTTGTGAGTGTGAATGTGTTGCTATTTTAAAGGGTGCTACCATGTTTCCCCCTAGTTTATAACACCCTCCCTGCAGGCAGGTGGCTGGGGGCTTTGTTTCCCCACCCCCAGTCTAACACAGGGCTCTGTCTAATGATGGCAGTGGAGGAGGGATGAGGAGGAGATGGAGGGGGCCTGGTGGGGAGCCCCAGCTTGGCTCTTCCTGGTTTTTGAGAGAGGGACATCTTCGGTTCCATCCCCCTATTTCTGCCACCCTCCTCCCAGTCTGGAGCAGAAGCCACAGTCCTGGTGATGATACAGAAGATGGTGGTGCCTTGGTTGCCAAATGGAGATAGCTTCACCGTTTTTACCCTATTGTAAACAGGCTACACACTCAGTGTAAAAAGAAGTGTAAAGAAGAAAGGGAGCCCTGGCTGGGTGGCTCAGTTGGTTGGAGCATGGTCCTGTACACCAAAAGGTGGCAGGTTTGATTCTCTGTCAGGGCACATGCTTAGGTTGTGGTTCCACCCCCAGTTGTGGTGCATACAGGAGGCAACTGATCAATGTTTCTCTCATCTTTCCCTCCCTCCCTCTCCCCTTCCTCTTGCTCTAAAAATCAATTAAAAAAAAAAAAAAAAACATAGCCTTGGGTTAGGATTAAAAAAACTAATGTTTTAAAAAACAAAAAGGAAGCCCTGGCCAGTATGGCTCAGCAGTTAGACCGTCAGTCCACGGACCAGAGAGTCCGAGGTTCGGTTCCCGCTAAGGGCATGTACCTCGATTGCGGTTTGTCCCGGCCCCAGTTGGGGTCGTGTGGGTCGCAACCACTCAATGTGTCCCTTTCATATCAATGTTTCTCTCTTTTCCCCCTCTTTCTTCCTCCTGCTCTATCTGAAGATAATTGCAAAAAATGTGCTCGGATGAGGATAAAAAAAGAAGAAAGGGAAATTCAGCCTTAATACTGCCACTTATAAAAGCTGTGACTACTTGGGTTTATATCCTCTGATCCTTTATTTCTGCATATATACATATATACATGTAGCTATAGATATAGATTTTTTATTACAATGATTAATAAACCATCTCTATCCTTGGTGTGTATTTTTCTCTACACCCAAATAGGATGGCAATACACCATCTCTTTCTCACCCTTACACTTTTTAAGACATCAAGAAACTTGAGTATAGAAAACATTTTCCTCTGCCTCCTGCAGCATCAGGTCCGTTCCGTTCCTGTGCAGGTGAAGGAGCGATTACACCTGGAGGCCTGGTCTGTCCTATGGTGTGGGCATGGGTTGCTAGGAACCCTGCGGTTAGTCGGTGGGGAGTGTGTTAGTGGTCCCCAGTCTGGTGAAGCTCCAGGCTAAGCCCCAACAGGCTTGAACCCAGGGCAACCTTCCTCCCACTTGCCCCCAAAAGCCTCCCTCCCCACCCTTGGTGGCTTTCTTCTTGACTCATTTAGATTATGACTATTGAACACAAGTTTACCACTGTCTCTCCAGGAAGACGCAGCTGTCTGAATGAATAGTGTAAACAAAATTACAGGAGTCTGCATTTAACTCACTTCTGAAAACAAACACGTTAAAGGTATTTAACACATTGTGAGTGGTGTGTAAGTAATGCTGCTAATGTCAGATGAGTCATCGCTGTTCCGGAGGAGCAGCCTCCACTTCTAATGAGCCTCTCCCTGCTCAGTTTTGACTCCTTTTTGGAGGCGTGGAGTGGACACAAAGCAGAGCCCCGAGTTCCTACCAGCTGCAGGCATCTTCACAAAACATCGTGATCTTATGAGGTCTAATGAAACAGACTCAAAAAGTCTAACAAAACATGCCCAGAATTAGCAAGTGGCAGCATCAAGATTCAAACTGAGGTCCGGTCCTTTGCAGGGCACCAAGCTGCTTCCCTTTAGAAGTGAACAGACATCATTTTTTCCCACATGCCTGGGGTTTCCTCCTCTCCAATTAGTCTTAATGAGTTTTTTTCCCCTGTGTACCGTGATTCCCACAGAAGCACATCTGTAGCCCCCAGCAGCCTGGCATGGTGCCGCGACCTTAGGAGGCCTTGCTGAGTGCTGCTTGGATTCAAATTGAATAACTTCCCATTTCCTGGGGCCCTCACATATATTATCTCATTTGATCGTCACCATCACCCCTGCAAGTGCAGAGGCAGCAGGCACAGGGCAAGGCGGCTGGCAACTAGGGCCAGGAGGGCAAGCTTCACACAAGAGAGTCCACTGTACGAGGCAGAATTCTCTTGGGCTGGGGGCAGCTCACGCAAGTGGAAGAGGTCATTCTAGACAAGGATGTTCTGCAGATGGCCATTCACTCAGTAAACATTTGTGGCTCCATGGTGCAAAATGTGATCTCAGGTGACCCATTAAATGTACAAAGGCTGCAGATGGAGTGAAGCACATGTGTGTCCTGCCCTCGATCACAGGAGGTCAGGCTGAGTGCCCTGCCCGCTCCTCAGAAGGCAGCCTGGCTGGTCCCAGTTCACTGGGAGCTGGCAGGGGCTGAGGGAGCCAGTGAGCTGACAGCCAGCTCCCAGATGACCTCCATGGGCGGGGACCAGGGTCTAAGACTGGATTGTTCTTACTTAAAGAGAGTCATCCTCGAGACAGGGCAATTGATGGCTCCCCCATCCACTGCGGGCCCAGCCTGCTCTAGGCCCCTGTGCCTGCTTCACCTTGACTCTTCCCCCTTGGTGATCTGTGCAGAGCCCCTAACTCCACTTCTGGGAGTTTAAAAGTACTCTTCTCCCAGGCCCCTTACACCCACCTCAGGCCCCGCAGCTCAGGTCTGGACCCCACTTGGGCACAAACTTCTGCACAGTTCAGAGAACCAGGCTCAGGGCCAGGAAGGTCAAACACAAAGAACAGGACATGGTCCCTTCGTGCAGGATGTCAGAATAACACCTATCCCTGTCACCTGAATGTAAGCCAACCCTCCATCGGTGTTGGGAATCTGTCAAAGGGAGGGGACTGGGCTTTCTCCTCTGGGCCTCCCACCCCCAGCTATCGGCTTGGCCCCCACAGAGCCTCCTTGGCAGCTGCTAACTCAGGAGTCCCGTCTCCTAGATTTCTGCTTGTCTATCCCTAGGTTCCCCCAGGAAATGTCCCTTTGGCTCTTGGCTAAGTTTGGGGGAATCCTGGTTCCCAGAGAGAATCTAGTTTATGGCTATCTTCCCCTTCTCCATGGTTCCTTTGTGGAGGGGGACTCAGAAGGGTTTGGGGTGGAGGTTTTGGGGATAGAAGAAACCAGAGTCACTCAGAGGGACCTGGAGACTTGCTGTGTTTTCCAGCTCACCACAAGGGCTCCCCTCAGCTCACCCGCAGCCCTCCCACCATCGTTCCCTGGTTCATCCTGTCCATTTGGAGGACCACTGGCTTGAAAATAACAGGCCACCTGCCAGCCCTCTCCTCCCGCCAGGGACACATCTGGTCCCCACCTCATCCTCCCTGAGGGATGCAGTTAGGCAGGGAGATGGAGGGGAATGAGGAGCAGAGCAGATCAGGGAAAGCAATTAAAAATCAGGTCTCAGGGTTAGAGGCTGAGAGGTGGGGGGGGGGAGGCTGGAGTGGGGCCCTGGTTGGGGGGGGAGAAAGAGCCCAAGCGTATTAACCCCAACAAAACAGCCTGGCCCCTGGGTCTATGAAGGTGTGTGAGCTGATGATGCCTCAGATAACAATGTGCTGAGATGGGGCAGGGAAGAGGAAGGCGAAGGAGACTGGGGAATGCAGCCAGGAACCCTTTGCAGCCACGGGAGTTGGGCACTTCTAACCGGCAGAGTCTGGCTGGCACAAGCTGTGGATGGCAGAAGGAACCTACCCTGGCCTGGGGCATCCATCTTCCAACTGGAAGGAGGTCATCTCTGCCCTCAAGGAGCATCCCGCTGACAGTGAACCATGGATTCTCATATAAGGGAGCTCTCACCCAAGGGAGAAAAGGGTGGCTCCTGTCCTGTGGGCACCTTAGTCTGAAGAAGGAAACAGACCTTATCCTTAGGGCAATCCCCGTCTGATGAGACATAGGTCCTAGGATTAGGAAGTCCTCATCCAGGAGGGACGACGTGGTTCTTCTTCTTAGGAAGCCTCAGGCTGAGGTGTAGAAGAGACCCAAACTGGGAGCCTCTCCAACTGGGTAGAGTTGGGCCTCTAATCTAGGGTTGGGGAAGGGCAAGGATGGAGGAGTCTGGGAGACAAGACAGGCTGGGCAGTTGGAGAAAACTCACACATGACTAGAGGCAAATGGTGCTGACTCCCAACCTGTCCTCACTGGCTGCTGCCCCCTGCGTCCTGTTCACACTGCCAACTGCCCTTTGTTGGGAGTGGGGACACACTCACCTGCATTGAAGTCAACAGGACATGGCAGCCCCTCCCCCAGTCGGACCCGTTTCCACTCTGGGCCCACTCCATCACAAATGTGCTAACATGTAGATAGGGAAAACACCTGGGAGGTGTTATTGAATGGAAGCTGTGATTTGTCAAGCACCTGCTGCATCCAGCTTACTGCCTTGGAAGTAAGTATGGCCAGTCACCATTTTACAGATGTGGAAATGGAGACTCAGAAGGTTCCTTAAGTCAGCCAAGATCATACAGCCATTGAGTAGCCTTGCTCTTTCCCCTAGAGGGCACTGCCACAGCAGTCAGAGGCAACTTTAGAAAATAAAGGAGGTGATGCCTCCGGGTGATACAAATTTGGGTTTTGGAAAACCTGCCTACAACCAAGTCCAGCTTTCTCCCTGCCTCTAAACAGCTGTGGCCAGAACCTGGGCAGTTGAGCACTGCCATCTAGTGGCCAGGAGGGCCCGGTTCTCTTCCTCATAGATGGGTCAGGGGATGGACAGACTGGGTAGTTCATGCAAGGAGTCAGCCAGAGAGATCCACGTTCTCTTTATCCCACCCACTGTGCTGTGCCAGTACTGGAGAGGGGCAGGGGCTCAAACGGAGCCAGTGGGTGGCAGTCTAGTGGCAAAACAGCCACTGAATTAGATGATGGCAAACCTGGAGACCTCATGTATGGGTTGAGGCCAGATGTAGTGTTGTTCTGTCCTGAGAGGCATTTGGGCCCTGTAGGCAGATGGGCATCATGGCAGAGTCTGACACAGGAGGATGTTCAGGGGGTAGGTCATCTAATCCCTGCCTTGACTTGAAGAGGGGTATAGCTTGGCTAAAGGCCCTGTGGAGGGGCATCTGGGCATCCCTTCCCCATGGCCCACAGCTTCCTGCTGTGTAGTGAAGAAGGTGGTCTAGGGATTAGCATGAGGCTCCAGATGTTGAGGCCCTCCGGTTGGGAAATCAGGAGAGGAAGCACCACGTAGATGGGGCCTGAGCCAGTCTAGGAGGATGCGAATAGCAGTGGAGGCTGGGAGCTGTGTCTGCCCAGGGGAGACGTGCATCATAGTGTGATCTAGAACAGAGAGAGGAAGGGGAGGAGGGTGGGGAGACGGAGAGAGAGGAGGAGACAAGAGGGAAGTGGAGAGAGAAAGAGAGAGAAGACATAACTGTCTAACAATAGGCTTGGTTAAATTAATGCATATAGAAGAAAACCATGCAGCTCTTAAAATGGTGATGTAGATAAATATTTGTTGATACGGAAAAATGTTCACAACACATCATTGAGTGAAAAAAGCAAATTACAGATAATTTGTACAGCATGAGCCCACTTATAAAAACATGAATGTGTGTGTGTGGGGAAAACCTAGTAGTATTTATTTCCAGGTGGCAAAATTATAGCTAATTCAATTTTTTTGTTTTGAGTATCTGTGTTTTCTGATTTTTCTACAATGAATGTGTAATAAAAATAATTAAAGTCGGGCACACAACCACAGCCAAGTCTGTCTCCCTTGTTGGTTCTCTGTGTGGATATCTTTAGAAAGGTAAGGGCTGAGTGCAGGGATGGGTCTGAGGATCAGATGAGGGTTGAAGCCTGGGCCTATGACGGGTCCAGGGAGGTGGGTGAAGGCGGGCCTCCATTGCTGCTGCTGAAACACTCCTGTGTCTCACACACACAGGTACAATTCACTGAGTCACACTGACAAGCACTTCTTGCTCTTGTTAGGTCTTTTTCTCCAAGTTTGCTTGGTGCTCTTTTCAACTAGATTTCACTCGAACAAGAAGAGGAGGCAGCAACTCTGTGACTTGCGCTGCAAGTTGGAAAAGCATCTACTCCTAGCCACAGAGAGGAGAGTTGAGCCAAGGTATTATCCCCAGTCTTGCTCTTTCTTTAATAAGCCCTGTCCTACACCAGCTCCCCCACCTACAACAAGATCAAAAGTCACTAAGTGATCCCTCCCCAGGATTTCCTCCCCATGAAACTGCTCAGGCCCTGGGGTCAGATGTAGCTAAGCCTTAGGGACTCTTACCTCCTCTCTCTGTGCTGGGGCTCACAGGGGAAACTCCAGCAGCCAGCCCATAATGTGCCCAAATGAAAAGCATCTTCCTTAGCATGGGGTAAGGGCATTGCCTGGACTGGAGCTCAGGAGCCCGGGCTACCTCTGAGAGCTGGGTAGCGGAGGGGTAGCCAGGCCTTGTCTGCAGAGACAGAGACCTGGCAGTGCTGGGCTGGCCAGTCCCCAGGGCCTCCCCCTCATGCCCACTGAATGACTCACCTTGGCACAGATATAATGGTCAGGGGTGGGCACAGAGCCTGCTCCCCGCTTCACTCCAGTCCTCATCAGATGCTTTCTGAGAAGCTCTTTGAGTGGGGGCTTGGGCTGCACCCTGCCTAACAGCCTGGCATCCTGGGATAAAAACAGCACAGCCTCCTGGGGGCTGCCCTCACTGTGCGGCGCCCTCACTGGTGGTGGAGAACAAGGCTCCATTCAGCAAGTGCCCAGCAAAAGGGATCAGAGGCCCACGCATGGGGAGTTGGCAGAGGGCAGAGTGGGGATGGGGAGAGAAAGGCTGTCTACTTCCCAGAAGTCCAAGGACACAGATGGGTGGGGGTCCTAGGTGGGGTGCTATTACTCTGAAGGACCAGAGTAATAAGGGTAGATGGGTTTGACCTCTCAAGGGGCAACAGGACCCAGGCCCCAGGCTCCAGGTTCCCAGTTTGGAACCAATGGCTCATAGGTTCCCAAATTCACCTATCCCCAGAGGCCTTTCTGGTCTTCGAAACCTGATGTGTGGGAACCGAAGGAGATAAATCTCCAGTGTGAGAGTGAGGTGAGGGGTGGCCAAGGAAAAGGGTACTGCAGGAACAAAGATGGGAGTAGGGACAGCCAGCTCATCCATAACGCTTTGTGGAGTTGTCAAGGCCTGGGCCCTGGGAGGGGGGTGCAGGGAGGCTGGACACGGAAGGGTGAGCCCAGTGAGACTGAGGCAGGGGCTTAAGAGTGGCCCAGGGGCCCTGGCTGGTTTGGCTCAGCGGTTAGAGCGTCAGTCTGAGGTCCAGAGAGACCAGGGTTCGGTTCCCGCTAAGGGCACGTACCTTGGTTGCAGTTTGTCCCTGGTCATGGTTGGGTCGCGTGGGTGGCAGCCACTCGATGTGTCCCTTTCACGTCGATGTTTCTCTCTCTCTCCCTCCCGCTCTATCTGAACAAAAAATGTCCTCGGGTGAGGATAAAAAAAAAAAAAGAGTGGCCCAGGGAAAGGGCCAAAGAGTGCAGTGCCTGCCCCCTTTTGCCCTATCAGGACCCCCAACTTCCTTTCATCATCCCCCCACTGCTAGGTAGAGGCCTCAGTTGACCCTCCAGACAAAAGTCTGATGTCCAGTCCAGCGCACAGCCCCAGAACCTCGGGGATGGGAAGAAAGCAGGAATGCAGATGTCTATATTCAGAGGGATGGACTCCAGCAACCTGTTGGGAACTGGGCTTGGCAGGAAACTGTAACATGTAGGCTGTTCTTCAAGGGTGTGGAAGGGTTGTTCCTTGTCACATTCCCAGCACTTTCAGGCACTGGAAGGAGGAGTACTGAGTGAAGCCTGGGTTATGGGATCGAAGAGTTAGAAGACAGGTAAGATGCCACCTGGTCCAGCCCTTTCTTGACCCACCTTCCTAGAGAGAGGGTCTCCTTGCTCAGTGAGGGGGCCTCAGACCCAGCATCAGGCCCCAGGCACTGCCCACAGTACCTCTGTCTGTGGCCCGGCTAGGGCTGGCATGCCCACGAGGCCCGGCCTCTGGGCACAATGACCTCAGTGGGGTAGAGGAGCTCTCCCCACGGCTGGGCTGCAACCCAACCCCACCCCCTCAGGCTATGCCAGGGGGTGTTTCCAGGGACAATCTGGGCTGTGTCAAGACGGCTCTCTCCTCCATAAAACCCTCACATCCCAGGAGCGAGCAGAGCCAGGCCAGAATGGAAAGGAGACGGGTCACCTCAGCTGCCCGCCGCTCCTATGTCTCTTCCTCGGAGATGATGGTGGGAGGCCTGACTCCCAGCCACCGCCTGAGTCCTGGCACCCGCTTCTCCTTGATTCGAATGCCACCCCCATCCCTGGCCCGGGTAGACTTCTCCTTAGCCGGGTCACTCAATGCAGGCTTCAAGGAGACGCGGGCCAGTGAGCGGGCAGAGATGATGGAGCTCAATGACCGCTTTGCCAGCTACATTGAGAAGGTGCGCTTCCTGGAACAGCAGAACAAGGCACTGGCTGCGGAGCTGAACCAGCTGCGGGCCAAGGAGCCTACCAAGCTGGCTGATGTCTACCAGGCTGAGCTGCGCGAGCTGCGGCTGCAACTTGATCACCTCACCGCCAACAGCGCCCGGCTCGAAGTCGAGAGGGACAATCTGGCACAGGACCTGGGCACCCTGAGGCAGAAGTGAGGAGGGGGCCTGGGAGAGGGGCCTCATGAGCTGGGAGGACTGAGCCCCCCAAGTGAAAGTGCCCACAGGCCTGCAGGGTCTCAGACCCAGGACCCCGACTCCCTGCTCACTGGTTTCCACACCTCTGGGAAGGGAGGGCTGTCCTTGCTCCCCAAATGATGGGAAGGATTGGGAGAGGGCCCAGAGCCTTGGGGAATTGATTCCCAAAGGCCTTCTGCCAGGAAAAAGGGTACTCTCAGCACCTGCTTCCTGGGGAAGTCTAGAGCAGTCAAGGCCTGGCAGGCAGGGTCTGTCTGTTTCATTCACGGTGGGGCCCTGTGACTGTGGACAGGGAGCTTGTCTATTTTGAGCCCAGGTCTGTGTAAAGGAGGAATTGGAAGAGAAGGTTGGTGTGCACTAGGAGGATTGGGTTCTGGGGGAAAGGGAGTGGGGGAAGAGCAGGTGGCTTCAGAACACAGGTGACTGTCTGTCACCAGCTTATGATCCCAGTTAAGGCACTTCAACTTGCACAGCTGTGAAGCAGAGCTCTTAATAAAACCCATTTCCAAAGGCCAGAGGAAACCCCAGGGGCATGGTGCTTTGCTGAGCCAGCTGGGTATGCGCGTGTACTCTCAAGTGCAGGAGGATGTGTGTGTGTGCATGTAACAGTGAGTGTACGTTGGTGGAAGCGCCTATGTGAGCAGGAGCAGGTGCGGCAACCCTGATAAGGCACCTTAGTAATGAGTTAAAGCAAAGGCCCTCATCTGTTCACCTTCCTAGCCAAGTCTCTCCTGTCACTCCACTTGTTCTGGGGTAGGAAGGTGTCTCTCTGGCAGCCACCTCCAGGGAGATTGGGGCAAGGGTCCAAGAGTCCTCAGAAGAGCATGGACCCAGGAATGTATCCCCCTACTCCAGGCTCCAGGATGAAACCAACCTGAGGCTGGAGGCTGAGAACAACCTGGCTGCCTATCGACAGGTCAGGGGGGTGGAGGGGTGGGGCACAGGAGGGGGGAAAGGGTTGATGACAGCCCACATAGCCTGCAACCAGCCCTCCTGAACAATGCGCTGCTCCCCCAACCCCAGAAGAGGGAACAGACAAGGCTAGAGAATGGGGAGGAAGAATCTAGGGTCAGAGTGACCCTTTGCCTCCTTCCTACTCTAGGAGGCAGATGAAGCTACCCTGGCCCGTCTGGATCTGGAGAGAAAAACTGAGTCTCTGGAGGAGGAAATCCAATTCTTGAGGAAGATCCATGAGGAGGTAAAGCTGAGGCAGAAGGAGGAAATGCCAACACAGAGATTGGGACAGAGAGACAGAGAGAGAGAGAGAGAGAGAGAGAGAGAGAGAGAGAGAGAGAGAGACAACAGAGGGAGAGATAGACAAAAGATCATCAGCAGCCTCTGATAAAATGCAGAGTATTATCTCCTTTTCACAGAGGACAATGAAGTCCAGAGGAGTTAAAGAACTTGCTAAAGCCCTGGCCAGTTTGGCTCAGCGGTTAGAGCGTCGACCTGCGGTCCGGAGAGACCCGGGTTCGGTTCCCGCTAAGGGCACGTACTTCGGTTGCAGTTTGTCCCCGGCCCTGGTTGGTCGTGCGGGTGGCAGCCACTCGATGTGTCCCTTCACGTCGATGTTTCTCTCTCTCTCTCTCCCTTCCTCTCTCTCCCTCCCACTCTATCTGTACAAAAAAAAAAAAAAAAAAAAGAACTTGCTAAAGTCACAGTCTCTCTAACTCCATTCATTCTGCCATCTGTCTCCATTTAATTGAGAACCATTAATAACAAAAAAGATCCCACTGACCTCTGACTGCAGATCATGGATTCAGCATTCATGAACCCATGAAACCTGGGAACCCATGGACACACCCACACACAGGGACTCAGACACTCTCCTAAGGACACAGGCACCCTTTCAGTGCTCCTGCCTATCCAGGCCTGGGAGGAGGACACCATGAGGCCCCAAAATACCTCCTGCTTCCCCCAGCCTGAGCCATGCACTTCCTCCAACTAGGACTGTCCCAATTCCCTTAGCCAATGTTCATGTCCGACAGGCAGGCAGAAGAGGGCGTGATGCTACGGGAAAACCCTAATTGCAGCCTGGGCTCTGAGCCCTGCTAACCCTTCTCTCACCCTGATCAGGAGGTGCGGGAGCTCCAGGAGCAGCTGGCCCGGCAGCAGATCCATGTGGAGCTGGATGTGGCCAAGCCAGACCTCACAGCAGCCCTCAGAGAGATCCGCACCCAGTATGAGGCAGTGGCATCCAGCAACATGCACGAGGCAGAGGAGTGGTACCGGTCCAAGGTAGCCCTGACAACCTCCTCCAGACAGCCCTCCTGGCTGCATACAAGAGACTCGGGAAAGGAGGGTGGAGGAAACTGGGAGAGGATCCTCTCTGGGTGACTGACATTTACCACAGAAGTGAGGTAACTTGCCCAGTGACACATAGGCAATGTTACTTCCAATAAGAACGTATTGCTACTATTACTATTATTATTAAACAACACTATTGTGTGCCAGGCCGTGTGCTCTGCATAGATTATCTTACTATGAAGTAGTACTGTTCTTTGATAAATGAGAGAACTGAAATCCAGAAAGGTTAACTAATTTGCCCAAAGTCACACAGCTTCTAAGATGTAGAGCTAGATTTCCAGCCATCTCACTTGGGAGCCTGCACTCTTGATGCCTCTGCCATCTGTATGCTGGGTTATTGGGCATCTGCTGCATGCCGGGCACTGGCCAGGCTACAGAGATGTCCGACCGGGGAAATGTGATGTGTAATCAAGTGTGGTGTCTGCAGAGAACACTACAGGGCAGAGTCTATGTGCAATGTGGGGGCCAGGGAGGATATCATAGAAGGGAGGGCATGTGACCTAAGCGGGACTGGCAGGCTATGAAGAGAATAAGGAAGGGGCATTCCGAACACAGGACAGAGTGGGTGTAGAGGCCTGGAGGCAGAAAGGCACAGAGGTGGAGCCCAGAGATGCTAGCCCAGGGCACGGAGCTGAGGAGTGTGAATAGCAGAAGCCAATGATGGTTCTGAGTAGACTGAGGCCTGATGGAGCCCTGTAAAGGGGGGAGAGGGAGGGTTATTAGAACTCAGATATCTGCTCGCCAGAACCCATTACTATCTATGACGGGGAAAACAGGGCTCAGTCCCATAGATGGAGCTGCCAGAGCAGGAGATTCTGGGTTCTCCTGTTCATTCATTCATTCCCTGATCAGGCATTTGTGCTAGGTGCTGAAGACACAGCAGTAGCTTCTGTTTTCCCATGGTTCACGGTCGCTGGGAATAATCCCACCCAGGGCCAGTGTCCTGGGATGACCAGGACCACAACCCTGGGGTCCTGCCCAGTCCCTGACTTCCCAGAGACCGTGCCTTCCCACAACCCACGCAGCTCCCCATATGCGGCTGCAACCCGCCCCTTAGCATAGGATCCCCTTCCCATCTAGTTTGCGGACCTGACCGACGCCGCGGCCCGCAACGCAGAACTGCTCCGCCAGGCCAAGCATGAGGCCAACGACTACCGGCGCCAGCTGCAGGCTTTGACTTGCGACCTGGAGTCCTTGCGCGGCACGGTGAGCATGAGCAAGCCAGAGCAGGCGGACGGGGGCCGCAAGCTGGGGCTGTCGCGGAGGGGACACTGCAACCCAGGGGATGCTACAGTAGAATAGCCAAGGGTGGGACCAGGACTGGGGGCGGGGCCAGAACAAGGATGGGGCGGGGCTTCAAATCCCTCTGGAGTTGGTCGAGGGCGAGACGGTGCCTCGAGGGACCGCCTGGCTCCACCCTACAGAACCAGTCCCTGGAGAGGCAGATGCGGGAGCAGGACGAACGCCACGCGCGGGAAGCAGCGAGTTACCAGGAGACCCTGGCCCGGCTGGAGGAGGAGGGGCAGACCCTCAAGGACGATATGGCCCGCCACCTACAGGAGTACCAGGACCTGCTCAACATCAAGCTGGCCCTGGACATCGAGATCGCCACCTATAGGAAGCTGCTGGAGGGCGAGGAGAACCGGTGAGCCCCGACCACAGCTCTGGGGAATCCGCCCTGCTGCTCCTCCCTAGAATCACTTTGTTCCCTTCAGGCACTGTCTTATTCAGCCTTGTGTCCAGCCCCCTCCTATCTCAGTGCCCAGCACAGTGCTCACATAACACACAGTAGGTATGCAAGAAAAGTTTAACGAATGAGTGAATGGATTCAATTCAATCAATGTTGATTAGGTCCCAGGACAAGGACTTGGGTCACCTACCCTAAACTAAAAGGCTCACCCCCACCCCCACTCACCCAACAAAAATTAGACTTCTTTTCCCCTGACTTGTCTTTTGTGGCTCCTCAGAACTTTCTTTGCCACTCTTCCCTCCCCTCTGCCATCCTCTGAGTCCTCATTCTCCATCTAATGGAGATGTTTGCAGAGAACCCCCAAGCCCCTTGCAGACTCTTGGAGTTCCCTGGAGCATGCTGGCTGCTGGGGAAAGTTAGGAAATGCGCTCTTCAAGCCTGTTTTAATAACCCTGAACCAGGACCTGGACGTCTTGGGCAGCCTGGTCACCCCTCTCCCCCTGCTGTCTTTCAGCATCACCATTCCTGTGCAGACCTTCTCCAACCTGCAGATCCGAGGTCAGTAGAGCAGGGCCCAGTGGCCAGGGTATTGGATTAATGTCCCCTCCCCCAGGCCTGTGGGCTGCTGCTCTGGCCTGGGGCTGAGAACCTGGGTAAAAGGGTCTGGGTTCTCCTTGAGGGCCTTCATGATTCTGGTCAGAACGCAGAGCTTCTGGTCAGAACACACCATCCCAGGGCACTTCAGGTGGGGCTTGCGGTCACTCCTGTCCTGCTCTGCCCTGTGTCCCGCTTCCATCCCTGCACCTAATTCCCTACAGAATTGGGTGAGGGTCTCAAGCTCTGTCCTGTCTGCAGATTCCTGAACAAGCTCTGCCCATCTGAGTGTTTCTGTTTTTGTTTTTGTTTTTTTTAACTGCTTGTCACTACAGGGGGCAAAAGCACCAAAGAAGGGGAAGGTCACAAGGTCACAAGACATCTCAAAAGCCTCACAGTACAAGTTGTACCAATTCAGGCTCACCTGATTGTAAATGGAGCCCCGCCGGCTCTCGGTTAGCTGCCTGCCTTTCAGACACGGTGCTTTTCTCCACGTGGCAGGAAGGGAGCCTCATCAAGCCCATGTTCCCCATCCTCTTGGACTCCCTCCTCCCAGGTTTCCCCAAAGGGCCAGCCTGTGTCATCTTCCCAGCAACCTCAGTGCCGAGCCCAGGACCTGGCACAGGGTAATGTAGGTTAAACTAGCAGAGCCGGCTGGTGTTCAGGGTGCTATGTCCTCAAGTGCTCAGATGAGATGCTCTGGGGCCTCTGAGCAAATGCCAGCCTCTGCCTCACATCTTCCCCATCACTGAGAGGGCCCCTAGGGTCTCAATGAGAGGGCCCCTAGGGTCTCTCTGCTTGATTCTCCTGTCCCCGCGGCTCCATGGCTCAGCTCAATGCTGGTTCAGCCCAGAGGATTATTTCCCCCTGGACTGCTGCTCTTGCAGTGAATAAAGTTTTATGTTCCCTGCTCTTAATTTTAAATAGTAGTGAGTGTGACATGTTATATTTTTCTCTCTGAGGGGGGGAAACTAAATTACTTCTTACTTGTATGTGGCCTTCAGATGCTTCTCAGCTAAGGGGGGAAAATCTTCCAGGGTAGAAATGTAGTAATACTAGATATGTGTCACCCAGGGCTTAGTTCAGCATCAGAAGGGTTAACCAGGTAGATGAGCTAGAGGTAACACTGCCGAGTGCCAGACAGTAGTGTCATCAGGGCCCAGAGAAGTGGCAGAGAGAAGTAGGAAAGGGGAAGGGGGACAAGAAAGGGGACTCACATTGATTGAGCCAATTGCTTAACATACATTATTTCAATTAACTGACTCCTTACTCCCACCTTGTTTTTTTTTTTGGTACGTGCCCCTAGCAGGAACTGAACCCAGGACTCTCTGGTCCACAGGCCGACGCTCCAACCGCTGAGCCAAACCGGCCAGGGCACTCCCACCTAGAAGTAGGCACCATCATCCCTATTTTGCAGATAAGGAAACTGAGGCTGGGAGAGGTAAATGAACTTGCCCACAGTTGTGTGGCTGGTTAGTGGCTGAGCTGGGACTCCAGGTCTGGCCTGCCTGATTTCTCCTTCCTCGGCACAGTGCTAGTTGTCAGAAAGCCAGGCGCCAGGCAAGGGCTTACCGAGAGACTGAAATGCAGCTAGGCCAGGAGAGAGAGCAGGGCAGTGGACAGAGTAGTCAGGACTTGCCCAACACGGTGGGGACTTGGGAGTCTCCAGTCCCCTTGAAAGAGCCTAGGTCCTCCCTTCCTGGGTGGATAGGTTTTTGTACTCATGATCTGGTCTGATAGGAAACCAGGGATGGCGGAGGATGTCTAGTACCCGGAGAGCCCACAGACCTCCTCTCCTCACATCCACAGAAACTAGCCTGGACACCAAGTCCGTGTCAGAAGGCCACCTCAAGAGAAACATCGTGGTGAAGACTGTGGAGATGCGGGATGGAGAGGTGAGGAGAGCAGACCTGAGATTCTGGCCCGGTGAGGCTCTGGCTGCTCCCAGGAATTCTTGAGGCCAGGCTCTGGAATAAAACCCGAACCGGGGGGGGGGCTCTGAGAGAGGGGCAGGAACCTGGATGTAATTCAATGACCCTTCACTGGCAGTTCTAAGAGGAGCCTGGGTGCCTAGACCACTGAATGGAGTCCTGACTTGGGCTTTCTCCCCTTCTCACCCTGACTCAGGTGCCCCCAGTGCCAGGCCTTGGGGAAAGACAAAGAAAATTAAAGTTAGAAGTTTTTGCTCCCAACTTTCCATTTACAGCTTGGTTAAAGGAACCTTCCAGAGGAATGGGAAAAGGGGACTTGGCATAACCCACTCCCCATCACACCAGCAACAGTACTAGCTCATTTTATACCACAGCTCACCATGTACCAGCATGGTGCTAAGTGATTTACAGGTGTGATATCACTGGGTCCTTTGCTGCACGAGGGAGTTCTGATTACTTTTATAGAAAAGAAATACCTGGGAAGGCTGGGAATCTGCCGAAGGTCACATAGCCTGGCAGTAGTGGACCCAGGGTCTGGGTGAGCTCTTAACTGTGGCACTATGCACCTTCTCTGTCCCCTGCAGGTCATTAAGGAGTCCAAGCAGGAGCACAAGGACATGATGTGAGGCCGGAAGCGTCTGGTGGCCCCTGTTCCACACTGGGAGGGGCCTGTAGTAGGAGGGGCCTATAGTTGTCCCTCCTCTGATAGCTAATTTCCCCAGACCTGAGTTTCCACCCCAACATAGCTTGCTCCCCTCCCCCATCCATCTCTGCCAGCTTCTGACATAGGCTCCATTAGCATTAAGCCTGCCAGACAGCACCCACCCCACTGCCAGCAACTTCACCTAACAGGGCACTCACCCCACAGGAGCAGCCTGGAGGGGCATGACCAGAAGCTTGGGTTAGAATTGGCAGGGAAGAGAGAAGTTGGGGAGGGCCTGGAGACCTAATAAATCACCCTCCATATCCTAATCCCTGTTGTCATGGCAACTGTTGCCAGAGCTGGAGGTCTCTGGGCTATCTGGGAAGTGGGCCTTTGAGTTTCCTGGGGCTGCTGGAGGAAAACTGGGATCTGGGACTCTGAGACAGGAAGGGGAAGTCCCCGCAGGCAAGGTAGCACTGGCCAGAGGGTCATTCTTAATGTAGACGGACCCTGGCCAGTCTGAGAGTAGGCGAGCGTATCCTGCTACCTGGAATCATCAGCAGACAGAATTCCTGGCCTGCCCCGATTCCAGAGAGGACTCCTGAGTGATGATTCCAGGGTCTCAGCCTCAGTGAGCTGCCATGTGGGCAGGTGGGAGTTGATTCTCAGCACTAGGGGATCTTACTAAGTGGTGCTGGGAAGGCTGCCTGGCCCCTAGCTGTCAGTACAGAGGTCAAGCCAAGGAGGACTTCCCCCATATAGGCTGGGGCAGGGGGGCACGTAGAGATGGTGGAGGAGGGAGTGGGATGATGCCAGACATCAGAGTTGGGGTTGTGAATGACCAGTTACACTTGCCCTCTGGATCATGAGAATCAAGGAAGTGACATCCTCTTGAAGGTACTGAAATAGGAGAGAAAGGGGCTGCTGTTCACAGGGGCAGGACACACACTGCCCCAGTTCCGAAGGCCCCTTCCTTGCTGCATAATCCCTGTCCCCCAAAGCCTCTGAGCCCCTGCAGCTGCTGCCTCCCAGCCCCAGCAAACACTGCTGGGTGAAGCCAACGCTCTACATCTGCCTCCCTCACCCAACAGTAACCTGATGCTTTTCCTAAACCAAGGGCCCTGTGGTCCCCTCTTACTCAAATACAAAACGTACCCCAGTGTTTTAGGTAGCACTCTACTTTATAATTCTGGAAATTGAGGCATGAGCAGAGTGAAGACCCTCGTTTGCGTTCCTACAGCCTGGAAGGGGGGCAGATACTTTCACCCAGAGCATCTGCTCTGCTTTCCACAGGAGGACTGTGGGGGGCATGGGATTATCTGTGCCCAGAAATGAGACTAGAAGAACCCACTCCAGGATCCCCCTCTTCCCTCTAAGGCCAAAGGGAGGGATAAGTGGGAATCCTTCCCTCTTCCCACGGCTTGGTGCCCTTTCTCTGACTCCCTCCTGCCACCCACTGATGCCTTTAGTTACTGAGGTAAATAAAGTCGACTTCTGTGGCCTCCCCCAGAGTGGACTCTGATCTGTTCGGAAGCTGTGGCTGGAGGAAGGGGACAGCAAGTAGCCTCAGACAAGACCCAACTTGCTTCTTGTCACTGATCATCTCAGGAGCTCAGCAACCCCGAAGCCACATGACAGATCCCACCTCCAACCGTGCTCTGCCATAGCAGTCCTGGTGCCCCCACCCCACCCCACCCCACCTTTGCTCCCAGCCCCTCTTCTCACCCCCAGTGTCCAGCATGGGAGCAGTCTCTCAGGAAAGTGCTGAACTTGACCTCCATTTTCCTCACCCATTTTCCCTGTTCTGGTCTCTACCTTTATTCCCAAACCTGCCACTCCTACCAGCGGGTCCCAGGACAAGGCTGGGAGAAAAGCAGAAAGCAAAAATACGAGCCCCTCCCACCCTTTTCTTCCTACTTCTCCCTGCTACCCCCAATTCACCAGCACCCACTTGGCAATCCTCGAAGGCAAGAAAATAAAGCATCTCAAACACTGTTCAATACCAGATAGGCCATTTGATAAATATTAGGTTCCCTTCTTCCCTCTCTGATCTGATGAAGTCAGAAGACGTGCACCTCGGCTACTTCCATCATAGCCTCAGACTCCTATCTCCCACCCTCAGGCTTCCCCAGGTCCCAAATCAGGTCCCAGATGTGCCTTGAAAATAGGGAGTAGGCTGTAACTAACAAGTTTGTCCACACACCCATGCCACACATTCCAGCCCAGGAAGCCCACTCAGAGGCATCTGAAATGATTTAACAAACACATTTGAGCACAGCTGGTTTTCAGAGAAGGGGAAGAGAGCCTAGCGAGAGAAGGTGGGATAACAGCGAAGTGAGTAACAGCAGCAGCGACAGAGGTGAGTGGTGACAAAGATTGCTGTGATGAGCAGGTACCCTATCAGGGTGAGCTCCAGGGCAGAGCGGACCTCCGGGTCTGAGAATGAGACCCTGTAGGGCCCTCGAGATATCAAGCCCAATCGGAAACCAGCGACCCGCACGCCCTGCCGCCAGCAATAGTAGATGCCCCTGTCATCCAGCTGGGTGAAGCGGATGTGGAGATGGTTGCCATGGTCGATGAACACCCTCATGGACCTATTGGTGCCCTTCAAGTACTGTGTGCGATAGAAGTACTGCTGGTCCTTGTCCCAGGCCACAGCGTGCTCTGGCCGGGCCCCAGGACAGGAGAGGATGAGTCCGTGACCCAGCCTCTGCTGGTGGAACTGAATGGGCACCTGGGGCACCCAGGGCCGGCTGCCTACTTTGGACACATAGTTGAAAATGGCCATCACGCCCTTCCGGGTCGTTGTCGTATTCTTGCAGGGCACCATGCAGCTCTGAACCAGCAGCTCGGGAGTGTGGTCCCTGGCCTTGGCTTGAAGCTTCCTTGGCACAGCCCGAGAACCACAGGACACCACATCCGGCAGTGTCTTGCGGTAGCGTGGGGAGAGGTCCGGACTCTGCAGATAGCAGAGGCCAATGCGCCACTGTTCCCCACGCACCCCGCAGCGGTCACAGGGGGTCCACTCCCAGAAGGTGGTGAAGACATGGAGGCTCCCACGGTACTCGTCTGCAAAGGGCTCCTGGCCCAGGTCCTTGAAGGTGGCCACCATTCCCTCACTGCTCTGGATGTCCACATCATAGGCATAGAAGTAGTCCCCCTTGCGGGTGCCACAGAAATACAAGCCCGAGTCTTCGGGCTGGGCCCGAAAAACCAACAGGCTGAACATGCGAATGCTGAAGCGGACCAGCAGGTCACTGCCTACCCGTACCTGCGCTGCCTCTGTCATCACCTGCCCATCAAAGTCCGTCAGCACTTTGGTGTTAGTACCAAGGTGCTTTTGATAGTACCAGACGACAGCAGAAACCTCCTCGGGCTTACAGTGGCAGGGCAGCTCGAAGCTCATGTCGGCCAGGTAGGCTGCATTGTCGAACATCAGGAAAGCAGGGCAGGGGGTCCTCTGAAAAATGTTCTCCTTCTCCACAATTTCAAAGGCCTGGAGACTCCCCCATGTCCACAGGAGCACAATGGTGTGGGCCAGGTTCATGCCTGAAGGAGGGAAGGGTCAGAAGAGCCAGGGAAAAACCAAGGCACTAAAGGCCTATGGGCTGCTGGAAATCACTGCCAGGGGAGGCATCTTTATAAGGAAAGAATTAAGCAGCCAAGAAAGGAATCAACATTCTTCAGAGGAAGCGGCCAAAGGCAAGGCAATTTATTCCCAGCTGACGTACAAGATGCCCTTCTAATGTGACAGTTGTGATCTCGAGGAAAAATCATTCTAGAACCTGGCCCTCTCCCCCCCTTTCTAGAACACTGGCACTCACCCAAGAATGGGTCAGGAGAAACTGGAATGAGAAGCACAGGCCTAGGAGCTAGACAGGGAAATCTCTGCCTCTCTGTTCCAGGTCTTGCCCTGCCTGCCTGGTGGAAAGGTCTTCCCTTTGGTTAATCCAGGAGTTGAAGGAAACCCACCACCTTCACATCTGGCCATCTGAAGAAGACTGGGAGGCTAGCCAGACCTAAATCGATGGCTTGGGGCTTTTCCAGGCCCAAACTGCACAGGAACTCAGCCCCTTTGGAAAAATACTACACCTCAAATGATGTAGTATTTGACCATTTGTCCATTTAATGCCCATTCATTGGTTTTATGTTATAAATATTCTTTTTTTTTTTTTTTAATGTTTTTATTGATTTTTTTTTAGAGAGAAAGGAAGGGAGAGAGAGATAAAACATCAATGTCAGAAACATCTATTGGCTGTCTCCTGCATGCCCTCTACTGGGGATCGAGCCCACAACCCGGGCATGTGCCCTGACCAGGAATTGAACTGGGACCTCTCAGTCCCTGGGCCACACCAGCTGGGCATAAATATTCTTGGAGCCCTGGCCGGTTTGGCTCAGCGGTTAGAGCGTCAGCCCACAAACCAGAGAGTCCCAGGTTCGATTCCCGCTAAGGGCACGTCCCTCCGTTGCAGTTTGTCCCCGGCCCTGGTTAGGGTCATGCGGGTGGCAACAGGTCAATATGTCTCTCTCACTTTGATGTTTCTATCTTTCTCTCTCCTCCCCTCTTTCCCTCCCTTTCTCCCTACCGCTCTATCTGAAGATAAATGCAGAAATGTCCTTGGGTGAGGATTTAAAAAAAAAAAAGCTGTGGAGATCAGTATTTGTTTATCACAAAAGACTAATTATTTTGCTTTTTCCCTTTTTTGGGTGGAGACTATAACTGGTGTAGCCAGCATTTGGTTAGGCACATGCCCATCTTTCAGGGCTGTGGGCCACAGACTTGATAGGATTCTGAGGGTGGGAAGCAAAGCCCTTTTAATTTTTTGGACCCTTGACCATCCTGTGGATCTACACAGTTTGGAATATCAAGCCACCGAGGGGCTGGAGAAGAGGGGAAGGTTTGATTCTAGCTTTTGCCCTGAAGATTCCAAGTTGAGAAGGGAATTAGGTGTGGGCTTCTTATTACAGTCCTGCAGAGCCCTCAAGACAACCAAAACATGTTGCCCTCAGAGACCACTGGGCGCCTCTGAAGATAACTGGTCCCATCAATCCACTTGGTACAGCCCTACGAGTTCTTGTAGGAGCCTCTCCTCCTCCTGGAGCCCACCAGGCTGCCTCTCCAGACCCTGCTCTTCCTGGCTGAGCCCCTCCTGCATGGGTCTGGGGGTGCCCATGGCCTGCAGTTTCCGAAACAAGTTTCTGCAGCTCTCTCTCTCTGCATAGCTCATCAGACTCAGGTTCAGGGCAAAGCGTCTGGTGTTGGCCAGGCTGCGCAAGATCCCCAGCACCACCAGCCGGTCGGCCGGCCTGACGTGATCAGCCAGTGCCACCAGCAGTTCCCCTAGAAGTCCAAACCCCACATCCGTCTGGAAGAGGTGGCCCAGCTTGGGACCTCCGAGCCGCAGCAGGGCCTGGTAGCGCTCTGGCCCACTCCGCAAGTATCGTCGCCAATCACGGTAGAACTCTGCTGAGGTCTCAGGTTGCAGGAGTGTTTTTTCCTAGATGACAAAAGAAGAAAAGGGAATCCAAAGCTCTTCCAGCTGCTCTGTGACAGTGAGAGTGAGAGTGAGGAGAGCCTGTGGGTTTTCATCTTAACTCTGCTCCTGTTCTTTGAGCACTGGGAAGGCTACAGTCCATGTGGGCCTCATTCTTAGATGACAAAGGATCCCAAAGAACCCAGGCCATGATTTGAGATTCTCAGATGTACCAGGATTTTCCTACTGGTGACTGTAAGAGTTAGTCAGGGTTTACTCTGAGTAGAGCAGAGGGAATGACAAAACCTCCGGAAGAGAGAAAGAACTCAAGGGGAGTGTTATGGATCTGACAGGCTGGGTCTCCCTCCCAACACTGCCACAGGGTTATTATACTGTACACCATATAACCCAGAACAACCCGAATCTTATCTGTGAATGCAAATCAAAGGACTGACTGAAAGGCACCTGCCTAGCCCAACTTTCTGATTGGTTCTGCCCAATTTAACTCACCCTCACAATCCAATGGTTGCTCTTCTTTCTGGGATTGGAGGCAGAAACATGCCTCTGTTGGCTTAACATGAGGAATAAGGAAAAGGTACGTGCTGTAAGAAGACAATACTGGAGGTTTAGGGCAGAGAATCCTGCTGGGCCTAACCTACCTGGGAGATTTCAGTGGTTTCATCCTGAGAGGTCCTTCCCGGAGTAGTGTGACAGTTCCAGGGTACAGTCCTCCTTCCCCCTATCTTGTCTTTCTGCTCCAGTGGCTTCAGATGTGATGCAAGGACAATACCCCTGTAGGCAAAGGACAGAGATTAAGAGATGGACCTAATGCTATCTGTGTGTGTAAGGTGGCTGGACTTTGCATGACATAGGCTGAACCTGTTGGCAGGTCAATATGACAATAACAGCAGCAACAACAGTGGACAGCTTTTAAGCCCTTCCCATGTCCCAGACACTACTCAGAAATCTTACATGTGAAATCTTATTCATTAATCATAGTAATGGTTACTCTTTTACAGATGAGGAATAGAGCCTCAGAGAGGTTAAATAACTTATACAAGGTCACATAGGTAGCAGAGGGTAGGACCAGGACTGAGCCCAGAATTATCTGACTCCAAAGCACATGCCTTTTTTTTATCCTCACCCAACGACATTTTTCTATTTTTTGTTCAGATAGAGTGGGAGGGGGAGAGAGGAAGAGGGAGAGAGAGAAACATCAACGTGAAAGGGACACATCGAGTGGCTGCCTCCTGCACGACCCAACCAGGGCTGGAGACAAACTGCAACCACGGTACATGCCCTTAGCGGGAACCGAACCCGGATCTCTCTGGACCAAAGGTTGATGTTCTAACCTCTGAGCCAAACTGGCCAGGACCAAAGCACATGCTCTTATGCACTACAGTCCACCATGGCAAGGGGCCTGAGAAAAATGACATTAACCCAACCTGAACTCCTCATAGGAAGCCACCCTCTGTTCCACTGCCCGTAACTTGGCAGCATTCTCCCGCTGGTACTTCTCATCAGCAGTAAGTGCAGCCTGCAGCTCTTTCTCCAGAGCCTTGAAGTCAATGATGTCATTCCTTTCCATGTCCTGTGTCTGGGAAGGCAAAGGGAATGGCCATCACTGGAAGGTCAATAACAGGGGAAGGAAAGTGGATTGTTTGCTAGACCACAAAATGACCCAAAAGCACTCTGGATATCTTGTCACTTATATTGGAGGGTTTACAAAAACCTAGTTTTCTATTTTATAGAGTGACACAGTGAGGACTTGCTAAAGATTTGTTGTCACTGAAAATAGAATAGTTCTGACTTTCAGTTTGGAGCCAGGTCTTAATTTTGTTCTCCGTCTCTAAGAATATTTTAATATAGGTGTTTTCGATGAGGAAGCATTCGGATCCCAGAATTCAGTCCCTTCACTCTTCCACATAGCAAGATAGAGAAGAACCTCCCACAAAAGCAGAACTATTGTTAGCTACTCTTGAGTCCAGGGATAGAATTTCACCCACCATTAAATGTCTTTAATGAGAAAGGATACTTTTCACCCAAACCCGATACAATGACTGAGCAGAAAAATCAAGTAGAAGTGGCAGAGGAAGGGGCTTACTGATCCCTGTGCCAAAATCCCTCTGGGACAGGTCCCTACGTACTTCAGCGACCTCTTTAGTTCTACTGCTGTACTTCAGCAGCCTCTGCGTATCTGAGGCTGATTGATTGGCCTGTTCTGCAGGGAGCTCATCTATATGGGTTCTAGTCTTGGCTCTGGCTTTTACTTGCTGTGAGATCCCTGTGAACCTCAGATTCCTGGTGCATTGAGCTAGATGTTGTGGCAGAATCATCACCAACAGCCCTAGGACAGGAGAGCAGAATGTCTGCAACCAAAGCTATAACCCTCCCTCTTCACCCCAACGTGGGTAACCTGAACATCAAGAAGGGGGCTGGGCTGACCAGGAATTGAACTCAGATGTTCTGTCTGCTGTCCAGTTCTGAGCCTTTCCCAGTCATTGAATAAATAGAACTAACCCTCCTGCCCTCTGACCGTCACCCCAGCAGCTCTGGCCAGGTCCCTCGCTTTCTTTGGGGATTCTCAGATTCTTCGAAACATAACAGCTCAGTGTAGACCAGGCCCAGCCGCCGCGGTTGCCCAGCAACTGCTCCAACAGTCTGCCCACGTGATAGGCCCGAAGGCCCCATTTTAGTGTGGTCGCGAAGCGCCTGATCAGATTCAGGCCTCTTCGGGCCTCACTCTGTTTGGAGTAGCCCACGCATCAGTTTAGGGGCCTACAATTCCACCTCATCCGTTCGTGTGTCCGCGGTCACCGTTCCTCCCAGCTGGTCCTCAGGCAGAGAGCTGTCTTCCGCGGCAGAAACGCGTCCGCGGCGTCCGCGGGGTCCTTCCCGACAGCGGGCGCAGGCAGTGCCGCGGCGTGGGCCGGAAGCGCGGTCTCCGTTGGGCTACTTGGAGGTTTTGGCTGAGCGCAAGGGAGGTGAGCTGACGCGGGTGAACGGCACGGGAAAGTTGCACCGGGTGGGATGGGAAATTAAATAGTGTCAGAGCTGAAAGAGACTTTATATGCTGTCTACCTCTTTCACTTTACAAATGGGTAAATGGAGGTGTGGAGCGGGAAAGGAATGAAAGCCTCCCTACCGCCAACACACACTCCGCATTCCAGGATTCCCTCAATTCTGTCTGTCCGTAAAATCCCTTCCCTAGGCAGGGGTCATATTCTCATTCATTCTCTCTCTCTCTCTCGTCCCCCCACCCCCGTCTCCCCTCTCCCATCTGTGCCATCTTCATTCCTCTGCCAAGCTCCCTCCGACCTTATTCTGTATTCCTTTGAGAGCCTGCATTATAGCGGGAAGCTGCAGTGAGGTTTGGTACCTAAAGGTACTAGTTTTGTGCAACCGTGGGCAAGTCAGTTATCTTGTACCTAGTACCTTGTTAGAGTCATTCATTCACTCAACAAGTATTAACTGAGGCTCTGTATTGTGCTAGGCCTTGCTTAAATTGTAGTTAGGGAGATGACAGTAAACACATGAGTAGATATATTTCAGCTAGTGGTGTTAATAATAACAAGTGTTAATAAGTGTTAATAAAACAGTGAATGTGGGGATTGGAGAATGTGTGTATGGGGAACTTTTTCTTTTATGTTTTTATTGATTTTTTTATTTTATTTATTTTGATGTTTTTGGCTTTTTATTAATTTATTTTTGTTACAGATGTTTCTCCCCCCCCCCCCCCACTGATTCCCCCCTCCTCCTCCCTCCCCGCCCTGTCCCCAGCTTTGTTGTTCATGTCCATTGTTCATGCATACATGCATTGAAATTCTGTGGTTTATCTCTCCCCCACCACCCCCTCTTCTGGGGATTGTCAGTCTGTACCCCACTTCCACGTGTCTGGGACTACCCCATTCCTCAGACTGTTATGTTCATTATATTCCACAAATAAGTGAGATCATATGATACTTGTCTTTCTCTGTTTGGCTTGTTTCGCTTAGGATAATACTTTCCAGGTCCCTCCATGTCATCTCAAAGGAGTACTCCATTGTGTATATGTACCACAGCTTTTTTATCCATTTGTCTACTGATGAACATTTGGGCTGTTTCCAGATCTTAGTTATTGTAAATAGTGCTGCTACACACATTGGGGTACATATATTATTTCTGATTGGTGTTTGAGGCTTCTTAGGGTATATTCCTAGAAGTGGGATCACTGGGTCAAATGGAAGTTTAATTTTTAAGTTTTTGAGGTAACACCATATTGTTTTCCATAGTGGCTGCACCACTCTGCATTCCCACCAGCAGTGTACTAGAGTCCCCTTTTCTCCACACCCTCGCCAACACTTGCTGTTTGATGATTTGTTGATGGCGGCCATTCTGATAGGTGTGAGGTGATACCTCATTGTTGTTTTAATTTGCATCTCTCTGATGATTAGTGATGTGGAACATTTCTTCATATGTCTCTTAGCCATTTGTATGTCCTGTTTGGAGAGGTGTCTATTTAGTTCCTCTGCCCATTTTTTAATTGGGTTCTTTGTTTTTCTTTTCTTGAGTTGTATGAGCGCTCTCTATATATTGGAAATTAACCCCTTATCTGATATATCATTGGCAATTATGCTTTCCCATACAGTGGGTTGCCTTTCCATTTTGATGATTGTATCTTTTGCTGTGCAGAAGCTTTTGAGTTTGATGTAGTCCCATGTGTTCATTTTCTCCTTTGTTTCTGTTGCCTTAGGTGATATATCAGTGAAAATTCTGCTGTGTATGATGTCTGAAATTTTGTTGCCTACAGTTTCTTCTAGGATTTTTATGGATTCATGGGTCACATTTAAGTCTTTTATCCATTTTTAGTTTATTCTTGTGTATGGTGTAAGTTGATTTATTGATTTTTTTTTTGAATAGCAAATAAAGTTTATTAGTAAGTACTTGGTTTCATTGGCAATAATAACTTCACTTAAAAGACAAAAACAAAATCAAAAGAATAAATGCTGGCTAATCATCAGAAAATCTGTGGCCATTAGGGCTATCATGCAGAAATCCAAAATCACTCAGAGGCCAAATCTTAAAGAAGATATGTCCTTTTATTAATCCATATGGAATAGGTCCATAATACCTGGAATCTGTGGAATTCTGTAGATTATCACCTTCTAACCAAACATGGCCCATAGGCACATAACTATGGCTTTTAAAGAAATTTGATGAACTATTGGTGAACATTTTGTCTCCTCCCAAACCAATTACTCTTTTACAAATATTTGACTTTGGATCACTTGGGCTTTTTGCAATCACAGTGTCACCTCTTTGGATACCATAAAAATGTCAACTAAGATTTTCTGCAAAGACAATATCTGAATTTTGAATTGTAGGCTCCATTGATGGTCCAGAACACATGACAACACCACCAACATATTCAAAAGCACAATGAGCTATACAGCCATACTGAATAGTATAGCCCACAAGTTGAAAGGTTTTTCCCAGAACACCACGAAGCATAGTTCTATGTAGACTCTGTCACCATTGGCCATAGATCTGTTCTACAATACATTCAATTTTTAGGGTAGTTGCAGGGCTTCCAGAAAAAAAGCATCTAATGCATGTCTCAAAGCATACATGGGTTATCCATGGTTTCAGGATTCCTCTAGCCCCAAAGAACCCTGGTAGGCTCTCCGATTTATTGATTTTTTTAGAGAGAGGAAGGGAGAGAGAGAAACATCAATCAGCTGCCTCCTGCATGCCTCCTACTGGGGATGGAGCCCTCAACCCTGGGCATGTTCCCTGACCAGGAATCACCAGACCGGGAACTCTCAATCCACTGAACCACACCACCGGGTTATGGGGGACTTTTATAGGGTAACAAGTGAAGGTTTCTCGGAAAACGTGACATTTTCATACAAACCTGAGTGAAATGAAGGAACAAGGTATGCATATCCAAAGGAAGAGCATTTCAGAGAACAGCAAGTATAATGGTCCTGAATCATAAATTAGCTTGGTTTGTCCCATAAATAGCCTTATATAAAAATCTCTACCTTACTTCATGGATTTCGGGAGAATGAAATGAGCACAGATATGATAGTTCTTTGGATGTATAAAGAATCTCTATGCACGCCCTGGCCAGTTTGGCTCAGCGGTTAGAGCATCAGCCTACGGTCCTGAGAGACCCTGGTTTGGTTCCCGCTGTGGGCGTGCGCCTCAGTTGCAGTTTGTCCCCGGCCCTGGTTGGGTTGTGCGGGTGGCAGCTACTCGATGTGTCCCTTTCACGTCGATGTTCTCTCTCTCTCTCTCTCTCTCTCTCTCTCTATATATATATATATATATATGAACAAAAATATCCAAAAATGTCCTCGGGTGAGGATTAAAAAAGAAAAAAAAAATCTCTATGCATATTGAAAGTTACCATAATGATTTACATTAGTTACTGGTCCTTCAAGCTCTTAATTCTGTATTTTATCTACAATCAGCACTCAACAGGTTGCATTGAGGAAGGTAGGGGGAATTAACCTAGTGCAAGAAAAAAACGATGTCTCAAAATTAAACATTCCATTCATTTAATATTTAATAGTACCTACTTAATGCAAAGTGCATTGTCAGGTAGGCACAAAGAACACAGGGTTCCTGTATTCAAGAATAGCAAAAAATAATAATAATAATGCTAGCTAACATTTATTGAGCCTGGGACTCTGATAAATTCTTTACACAGATTATTTTGTTTAATTCACATAACCTTCCATGCCGTGGAAATTATTCACTCTATTTTCCAGTTGAGGAAACAGGTTTAGAGAAGTGAAGTAACTTACCTGAAGTTACATAGTTACTAAATGACAAAGATAAGATTCACATCCAAGTCTTCCAACTCCAGAGCCCAGGCCTTTAGTTAACCCATGCTCTGGTCTCTTGTTTATTACTTGTAAACTGTAGAGTAATTGGTGAGGGTAATTAGTACAGTTAACTGCTGTTCAGAACGATTAAATGCTGGTAAAGGTGCAGAAGGCTGGAGAGAGAAATCGAGGATCTAGAAAAGCTTGAAAGGTGGCAGTTGAATTGTACTTTGAATAGAATTTCAGTAATTGAAGAAGAGAAAACCACAAAATACTTAACTAATTAAAAAGAGAAAACAAGTAACTTTACAATAAAAAAGCCTGGCAGACACCACTATAATCAAGTGATTAAGGTAACATCACCATTAATGGAACAACTTAAAATCATGTACCACCTGATAGAAGGTGCACTAAAAAGAACACAGCATCACTGTGATATTCCTGCCAGAAATGCATAAGCTTAATCTAATCATTAGGAAACATCAGACAAGCTCAAGTTAAGGGACATTCTACAAACTCACTGGCCTGTAATCTTCAAAAGTGTTAAGAAGTCAAGGAAAGCCCTGGCCAGTTTTGCTCAGCGGTTAGAGCATTGGCCCGCAGACCAATGATTCTCGGATTCGATTCCCATCAAAGGCACTTATCCCAGTTGCAGTTCGTCCCTTCCCTGGTCAGGGTTATGCGGGAGGCAACCAGTCGATGTGTCCCTCTCACATTGATGTTTCTCTTCTCTTTCCCTCCCTGTCCCTCTCTCTCCCTTCCTCCCACTCTATCTGAAGATAAATAGAGAAATATCCTTGGGTGAGGGTTAAAAAAAAAAAAAAGTCAAGAAACGACTGAGGAGCTGTTCCAGAGTGAAAGACTAAAGATATAACAACTAAATGCAAACATACAATCCTGGCTTGGATCCTTTGCTGTGCAGGACATTATTAGAACAGTTTGTAAAATTTGGAGACTGAATTAGATTGTAGTAATGTGTCTGATCTTCTGATTTTGATGGTTGTATTGTGATTATGTAGAGGAATGTCTTTATTTGTAGGAAATCACACACACTAAAGCAGTAGTTGGCA